TCCTCTGTGTATTCTTGCCACCTCTTCTTGATGTCTTCTGCTTCTGTTAGGTCCCTCCCATTTTTGTCCTTTATCATGTCCATCTTTGCACAAAATGTTCCTCTAATATCTCCAATTTCCTGAACAGATCTCTGGTTTTTCCTTTTCTGTTATTTTCTTCTATTTCTTTGCATTGTTCGTTTAAGAAGGCCCTCTTGTCTCTCCTTGCTATTCTTTGGAAGTCTGCATTCAATTTTCTGTAACTTTGCCCGTCTCCCTTGCATTTTGTTTCCCTTCTCCTCTCTGCTATTTGTAAGGCCTCGTTGGACAGCCACTTTGCTTTCTTGCATTTCCTTTTCTTTGGGGTGGTTTTTGTTGCTGCCTCCTGTACAATGTTACGAGCCTCTATCCAAAGTTCTTCAAGCACTCTGTCCACCAAATAGAGTTCCTTAAATCTGTTCTTTACTTCCACTGTGTATTCATAAGGAATTTGGTTTAGATTATACCTGAGGAGCCAAGTGGTTTTTCCTACTCTCTTCAGTTTAAGCTTGAATTTTGCTATGAGAAGCTGATGATCAGAGCCACATTCAGCTCCAGGTCTTGTTTTTGCTGACAGTATAGAGCTTCTCCATCTTTGGCTGCAGAGAATATAATCAATCTGATTTCGATATTGCCCATCTGGTGATTTCCATGTATAGAGTCGCCTCTTGTGTTGTTGGAAAAGAGTGTTTGTGATGACCAGCTTGTTCTCTTCACAAAACTCGATTAGCCTTTGCCCTGCTTCATTTTGAACTCCAAGGCCAAACTTCCCTGTTGTTTCTTTTATCTCTTGGCTCCCTACTTTAGCATTCCAGTCCCCTAGAATGAGAAGAACATCTTTCTTTGGTGCCAGTTCTAGAAGGTGTTTTAAGTCTTCATAGAATTGGTCAATTTCAGTCTCCTCAGCATTGGTGGTTGGTGCATAAACTTGGATTATTGTGATGTTGAAAGGTCTGCAGTAAGATTAGTTGAGTTTTATTTACAAATGTGTGTATTTTTCTGTGCCCAGCAATATATCAATTCATGGAACATTAACCACATATCCTTTGGAGGTTTGTATAAATCATGCCTTGAAATATTCTCTCCCTTCCCTCAAATGATTAGCTAGATCTTTTTAAAACTGACAACTTTTAAATTACAACAGTCTTCACAGGCTATACAGTGGTGCCTCGCAAGATGAACGCCTCGCAGGACCATGCAACTTATAGTACTGTGTGAAATTTCTTGATATTATTCCCATCCCAATGGCTACGGGGACCCCTGAAGTGTGTTTCATCCACAGGCGAGATGTTTTGAGGGCCAGGTCTCTGTATTTTGTTAGTTTTTCCAATAAAGAATTGGATTCTTCACGGCCGGGATCAAAATTATTTGGTATTATAGCTAATGCCAGTATTAACGTAAAACCTACGTATCATCATCAAAATAAAAAAATCATACTGAGCTTTATGTATACTTTGGAACTTTTCTGAGATTTATATTTTGCCAGCTCAGTGGGAGGGCGGTAACCCCATGAGAAGGGGTTAGCAGCTCCCTCTGTTAAGAAGCTACGTTCTTGATTTTGCTTTTGAACCATGCTGGCAGAATCATGGAAGAGCCTAATACACACCATTTTGAAGGTGTTTGTTCTTCAGTTCTTGTTCTTCTTCATGGATCGAATGTCTGTGTTATTTTGTCTTTCTCACAACCGTACTATTTGGGGTAGTCAAAAATGACTTGTCTGTGCCACGAAACGAGTCAAGGCAAGAGTGGGCCTTGAAGCCGGGTGCCTCACCTCTGGGTCCCAGTGCCTTCGTGCCCTTCCGCAGAAGCTCTGATCCTGCTCTCCTCCTCCTCCTCTTCAGAGTCGGGTTCTGGAGGTGGCAATACATTCGGCCAGGCTGCAGAACCAGCAGAAGAAGCTGTGTTGGGAGGAACTGGACCAGCTGGTCAAGCAGGAGCAGCAGCTGTTGAGGCAGAGAATGAGCAGCTCCAGCCAGAGGTCCAGAGCACCAAGTCAGAACTTGCTCATGCCATGGAGAAGGTAAACCCGGGATTCCTTTCAGAAGCCTCTTGACCTGAATGTTGTCCCTTACCTTCTTCTGGAAGTCTAGGACAAAAAGTCGTTTTGGTCGTCCTCCCAACTACCTTTGTGTGTTTGTTACACACATACCAAACAAGCTGGTTTTCTGGACCAACTGGTGGGGGATTCTGGATCCCTGTTGTCTACAAAACTGACTTTCCCAGCCTGTGACCTTAAAGCATTGGCCTGGGACTCAGCCCGGCAGGTTGGCACCAGGGCGGTGGCTACCCAGCGCAGAAGGCACAGACAGCTGTGGCCGGGCTGGAGGTCAAGCCCAGCAGAGAGACCAGGGACCAGAGGCTGAGACGCAGACAAGGCAGAGGCCAAAGGCTGGGCTGAGAGGAGGCCAAACAGGAGGCTCCTTGGCGTTTCTAGAAGAGAACGGTTGTTTATGATGCTAAACTAGTCAGGCTGACAAGAAGGGTCGCCTGGCCATTTGGCTGTGGGTCGATGGATAAAAACCAAGCCACACCGGGATGAGTAGGTGTCATGAATTTGATTATGAAAACAGAATAGAGTTGTATGTCATAGGATTTATTTAAGAGCAGCAACGAAAAAGCTAGAAATCCGCTTGTGTCCAGGTGCTAATTAGAGAGAAAAAATGTACAAGATCAGTTCTTCTTCAGCAGAAGAAAAAAAAGTCAAGAAGGGCAAGATGACCTTTATCTTATCTAAACTCCGTCGGACAAGGACATAACTGGTTAATTTAAGAAAGATGGGTGAAAAGCAAAGGAGGAGGAGATGGACGGTGACACAGCCCGGACGACTGCCAGAACGCAGCATGAATTTCAGTAGAGAAAAAGCTACTATTTTTCTAATTAACCGTAAGATAAAATCCTATTTAGAAATGTAGTTAGATTGGTTGTTATTTTCGTTTTTATAGAGGAAATGTTTGTTGGTAACGACTGGGGTAATTTGGAAATGATTATTTGTGTAAAGATTGGCTTATCTAAATGTGTTTCAAATTAATCTCTATCTTTTTAATAAAATATAAAAAGGCTGTTTGTCTGTATGTTGGCTTCTTGAATAGACCGTCAAGCTACTCTAGTTAATTGGCTACTTTAAAATTGATTTATTTAATCAGGCCACGCGCATGCTACCAATTTAGGGTCCCACATATGAGATAAAGAGGAGTAAATCTTCTAGAATGACTAGAAGTTTTTTATTTAAAAATCGTAGCAGACTTGGGAGAAAGGGTGGAAAAGTTGCCTAGGGTAAAATTAAAGGACCCGGTTTTACCTGAGTAGGAACTGATCATCCTGGACCCCTCTCTGTTCCGTGTAAAAGCAGTTTCTTAGGAAGCTCGCTTTTATGACAGTAGGAACACACACACACACACACACACACACACACACACACACACACACACACACACGAGTCAGGTCCAAGTTGAATCACCGGTGCGATTTTAAGTCCAACATGAGAGCAAGTCCCACGACTCAATTGCCCAGATCTCCTGATGCTTCTGCAGCTCCTGTTATGCTTTGGTGAACTGAATATTCTTTGACCGGTGCTCTCGGCAGGTGCAGCAGCTGGAGTCCACCGTCCTGGCCCTGAAGCACCCAAAACAACAGAGCGCGAGTGTGAGCAGCTACAGAAGGAGTTGACTTCAGCCCACAGAAAGGTTGGTTCCCCTGTAAGGATGTATTTTTGTATGGATGAGAAGAGTGAGCAAGTGGGAGGACTTGGCGGGTCCTGATTTTAATTTTTTAATTTAAATCAGTGTTCTTTTTGTTTTGAAATCTGTGCAGGTGACTAGCATATGTTGATGAATGTTCTGTCTTTATCTTTCTATGTTGGCAGAAGTCAACTCCTTCTGTAGCCACTAGTCACCCTAACCCTTACCTTAATCCTCACCCTAAGCCTCACCCTAACCCTAACCCTAACCCCTAAACCCTAACCCTAACAACCTTAACCCCTAATCCTAACTCTAACCCTAAATCCTAACCCTTTTCTTGCATGGAAAGAAGAAGGCATTAAATAAAGGCAGAAGATCTGGACAAAGAATGTTTTTGAATAATAGTAATACTGATTTCTGGCCATGTTTTCTATGGTAACATTCATTTCAGGAGAGCTGGTTCACCTGTGGAGATATGGATTGTGGTTCTTCGGCCCTTGTGCTTCTCTCTCTGTGTGTGCACACATAGAGAAAAAGAGATGGATGAGTGTGATTAGGTTCATTAGAAGTGTGAAGCAGTTCCTCTCTTTTGGCGGGAAATGACAATTGAATCTCTTCTGAAACATCAACAGATTTATTTGATTTAACATTTGGTGATTCTACAACAACTTCTAAGGGTTCGAAACAACTGAGGTAACTGTCCATAGTGTGAAGATGAAAAATCCGTCTGCAAATTGGGTAGGTTTCATTGAGGGGCTGGTCCAAAACATTCCCGGTTGGTGGGTTTCCTCAACGGAGCACTCCACACCGCGCATATTGTTCCACAGCAAGGGTGTCTGGCCCAGCCTCCCTCCAGTAGTGGTTAGCTGTAGGATTGATCTGGTTGGATCACCTTCCTCAAGTGACCTTGTCCCCATGGAAAGGCCACAACCATCCATTCTAGTGGTTCTGTCGATGCTCTCTTTTCCCTAGCTAGGTCGGGGTCAGGTAATAATCCTCATACCTTTAGATTAGGGCAATCTTCTAATAACCCACACACTTTTCCATATCTGTGTTCATCTTTTTTCTTCTATCTCCCTCCTCCTTCACTTTCTCTCTCCTCGGTACACTAAACTCTCTCCTCCCACGTTGATCTCTTATATCCTCTTCCTATACTGGCAGAACTAACTCCTCCTCTCCTTTTCCTTCCCCCTCTTCCACCAGACAGATTTCAATCTTTTCTTCTCTCCCTTTTGGTTCCTTTCCTTCCCCTTCTTCTACCATCAATTCCTCACTCTCTATTGTCTTCCTTCCTCCTATTTCTCTCTGTCTCTCTCTGTCTCTGTCTCTGTCTCTGTCTCTGTCTCTGTCTGTCTGTCTCTCTCTCTCTCTCTCACTCGCTCCGATGTCTCTATTTGAGGGGACGGCTCACTCTGTTCTTTCTCTCTTTGGTCTATCTTTCCTTCACAATGAGGCATGGAGCATAGTGGGAGGGGAGAAAGGATAGGTATGTGCTAAGTTTTAGAAATGGAAGGAAAAAGAGTGGGCAGAAGGTGTGTGGGCCTATTCTGTCAGCCTTGGAATCCCACTGAATCTCATCTGCAGGTAGGTTCCCACCCCAATAGATTATAATTGAGGAGCTGCAGTAAAGGGGCAGAAAGGATGCTTCTACACCACTAACGTAGATGAAACAGCAGCCATTTCATGGATCTAGCAAAGATTTACCTCTCTTGCCCCACATTGTTAGAATATAGGACTGCTCTACTACTTGCTGAAACCACAACACTCTGCATTGCTGTAGTTGTGTTTAAGAATTTCAGGCAGGGAATTTAAACCTTTAAAATTAAAATAGTTTCTTTAATGGTATAAAGATCTTCAGTTGAATAAGTTTGTATGTAAACCAGACACTGAATTGTAAACAGGTACAAATGAGGAATTATTCATCTTGTTATTGAAAAAATGAGGAAGGATTGCCTTTTTATGGGGTTAAGGAAGCAGGAAGAGAGTGGAGAACACAGCCAGGGACATGCATTGATCAAAGACTGCATTGGACATGCTTCTGCACACACATTCACAACATAATGGCCCAACAATGACACACAGTGATAGGATTCTATGATTTCTCCTTAACGAAAGATGAAAATTTGCCAGCCCCCATTGCTCTCCATTTAGTATTGATGCTTCATGTGCTTGGAAATTCTGGGGGTGACTTTCTTCAACAAAGTTCATTTGTTCCTGTCATTTTCCAGGCCTTTTCCTGAAGCATAGTTTTGATAGGAAGGCGGGAGGTTCTGCAAAAAGGGTATCTTGCTAATCAAAGAGGAAATAATGTGAAGAGAATTCAACCGCTGCCTCCTTTGCTCATGCTTGTCTTTCTTCTGACATTCTGACATCCAGGAATCCACAAGCTAACAAGCCCATGTACAGCACGTAATTGGTACAATAAATGGTTAGGTCCACCACCTGCAAAGTGAAGCAAGCAACTAGCCAGTAGGGATGGGGGACCCTGCGGAGTGCACTGTTTCAAGGCCAGCAGTTTCCCCAGAGGAGGAGCCCTTGCTGGCAGCCAGCACATGCAGCCCCACAGACCTCTGGAACCTCTCCAGGTGGCAACAGCTGCAATGCCACCAGTCCGGCTGCAAGGCAAAGCGCTCAGCAGCAAAATAGTAAACCAGGGGATCCAGGCAAGCATTGAGGCTGGTGAGTGCCATGGTGACACGCCGAGCCACGTAGGTGGCCCGGATAAGTGGGCATCCACCCAGGACCCCCACACGGCCAAGTGTGTGGACAAGCTGCACCAAGTGATAGGGTGCAAAACAGATCAGGAAGACTCCCAGGACCACCAGAACTGTCCGTAGGGCCTTGCGCCTCACAGCACGTGATCCTGGTTGAATTCCAGGGGAGGCCAACAGCCGCCAAGCAATCAGGGGATAGCAGATGCCAATGAGGACCAGAGGCAGTAAGAAACCTACGACAGCAGCAAAAATGCTGACCCCTGAGATGCGCCCCTTCCAGGAGCTGGAGGAGAAGTTCTCAAGGCAGGCTGTCCGCCCATCAGCGAAAGAACTAGTCAGGGGCCCACGCAATGCCAGGTACAGAATGGCTGCCACCAGCACTGCCCACACCCCCAAGGCAATGCTCCACCGATAGCGGAACTCTCGGAACTGCAGGTGCCAGAGAGGGTGTACTACAGCCACATAGCGCTCCAAACATATACAGGCCAGGAAGAGTGAACTGCCATAGAGGTTGGCAAAGAACAGGCAGCCTGTGATTTTGCAGAGAACTTCTCCAAAAAGCCAGTCATTATGCAGGGCGTGGTAAGCGATGCGGAACGGCAAGGTCAACACAAACAGGAAGTCGATGGTGGCAAGGTTCACCAGGAACACATTGGCTGGGGATGTGGCTGACTTGGTCCGAAGGAAGTAGCTCAGCACGAAGAGATTTCCAGCCAGACCCAAGACAAAGACGAGGCTGTAGACCACAGGGAAGAGGAGATACTGGAAGTCTGCCGTCTCGGAGCAGTTGGAGGTGATACTGCTACTATTCCATAGGGTGACGCCAGGAGGTAGCATAGAAAAGTTCCACGATGGTTCCTGAGAATGAGAGAAACATACACTCAGGCCAGTTTATGAATCTTGCCCTTGGTTGTGTTGTCCCTGTCTCTTCCTCACAAACTACCCCAAACCTGCTTCTCTCACACTGTAGCCATTCTGTTACATTGCAACTGCACATTTCTCCATAGAGTCAATCACTAGTAGAACAGCCTACTTTGGAAGGGGGGGGCAGACTTTCTTTTGTTGAAGCATTGTAAACACAGACTGGGCTGCCCTCTGTCAGGGAGGGGGCCAGGCTAGATTACTTTGGGGGTGCCTTTCAAACATACTATTCTATAATTCCATGATAGTCAAATGAAAAGTGATGATATCAGTAAAGCATAATGTCCTGGCAAAATAATCAGCATCAGATTTGCACAGAGATGGGACAGACAGAGCACAATGACATCTATGACTCCTTCCTCTCCCCTTTTTTGGGAGGGGAAGCTTGAGAGAGTTTTGATGTGACTGGGTTTCCATAATTTGTTCAAATTTTTCCAAGCACATCCGGAGACTTCCATGGCTGGCAGAGCAGCCCAGCATGTATGATGGCTGTGTGTGCTCGGAACATTCCCTGAGCTGAGCAGAACCAGGCACTAATCAGCAGAGGCCCGGGCACTCATCGTAATTGTGGGAATAACTCCCTTGCCCCTCAGACATGATACTAGATGGATATCCTGCACCTGCAAATGACCCAAGATTCAACTGGGAAAGTATTATTATTATTATTATTATTAAATTTTATTTATATCCCGCCTATCTGATCGTGTCAGGGCCACTCTAGGCGGCTAACAACATTAAAAGATAATACAAAAAATATAAGTACAGTGGTGCCTCGCACAGCGAGGTTAATCCGTTCCGGATTAACCCTTGCTGTGTGAAAGCATCGTTGAACGGGGCAAGAAACCAATTGGAATGCATTAAACAGTGTTTAATGCATTCAAGTTGGGCTGAATACTCACCGTTCAATGATGCTTCCGGGCGGCTGGCAGCCATTTTCGCACCCTCCCCTTGCTGAACGAGGGCGCGAAAATGGCTGTGATCAGCTGTCCGGTGGGTCCAAAATGGCCGCCGGAACAGCCAAAATGGCCGGCCGCAGCGTTTTCGTGCCCTTGGTAAGCAAGGGGAGGGCGCAAAAACGCTGCCGGAACAGCCGAAATGGCTGCGCACAGCGTTTTCACGCCCTCCCCTCGCTTACCAAGAGCGTGAAAATGCTGCAGCTGGCCATTTCGGCTGTTCCGGTGGCCATTTTGGACCCGCCGGACA